CGTATTAATACTGTTCACATGAAAATTATTTTTTAAACATTACCACAAAGCAAGATTAGACATACGTATTAATACTGTTAACAGAAAAATTCCAATTTGAACATTGCCACAAAGCTAAATTAAACACATATTTGTAATAACTATTAATATTATTGACAGGATATCGTTTTAACAATATTAACACGAAGCTAAATTAGACATATGTATTAATACTGTTCACAGTAAAATTCTTTTTTTTAACATTACCACAAAGCTAAGTTTGGCATACGTATTAATAATGTTCACAGAAAAATAAAGTTTTTAAACATTACCACAAAGCTAAGTTAGACACAACTTCGAGACAATTATTGTTGACAGGTTAACAATATTAACACAAAGCTAAATTATTTGTTTTCTTGGATACATTGATTGACAAGATATTTTGTCATATTATCACAGATTTAAGTTAGAGGTTTTATTGGACATATTTATTATCACTGATAAACAGAATATTTTAAAGTAGGTGCTAAATTATACATTTTCTTACACTTGCTTATTCATACTGTTCATACAGTAACAGTTTGGGTTAAGTGTGATAGAACGTGTTTATATAATTTACAAATGTGTTTAAGGCACTTCTACAAGGCTAGAAAAAGTTCTGTATTAATAAGAATACGTCTTAACACTGTAAAAAAGTCATTGCCTATTTTTTACACTGATCGATGAGTAAGTTAACGTAAAAGTACTTGTTCAGTACCAAGAGCGGATTTAATTTATAATATACTTGGTTTTATTTGTTCATGATCATCATTGTATGTTATTTTGTAAATGTGAAACGCATTAAATTAAACTTATATGAACTGTTCAAAATAATAGATATATTACTGAAAGTTATCTTTGTAATGCCACATTCTTATTACGGACAGGTTCAGCTTATAGCAGAGAAGATTTCATTATATCTGTAGAGTAATCTTAAGAGTCCAAGAAATTTCACATGACTTTATCTGGAAAAGTCCCTGATGCTTAGAAAATAAAAACGCTTTTATTGTCTACAAATCTTTCTACTTGAACCATCCATTTTTATATTCAACTGCATAGTTCAAGCCTCTTACCGAGTATTAAATTCGCGTGATATACTGACAGCCATATTGGGGATCTCAAATGTCTTCTAAGTGTGGATTGTAATACATGACTTGACTATACAGAAAAGCCCTGAACAAAAAATATTAAACCTTCGCTGCCTTCAATTGTAGAAATCCGGTAAAGATCGTTAGTAAAGGATCACATATCACAAATAAATCAATTTAGTTAGATACGGAATCTACATTTCATAAACATATCTAGATTTGAAGCTTCGACTTGAGTAGACAACTCGGAGTTACATACCATGACACGGAGATTGTATTCATACATAAAGATTAAAGGACAAGGGTAAACGTAACTCTCTTAATGTACAGAACGTGTTAAGTTACGTAGAGTTAGCTTTCATTATTGTATAACTAAAACGACAGTAAATCATATTATACACATCTATCACTATTATGTATTTTAGACGTTACCCAATATCGTAGTTTCAAACGTTCATTTATATATTTTATCCTGTGATAGGTAATTTTCATTTTGACTAAACCTGCTCTTTAAATATTCTCGATTTTGTTTGTTTGAAGTTAAGCACAAAGCTACACAATGGGCTATCTGTGCTCTGCCCACCACGGGTATCGAAACCCGGATTCTAGCGTTGTAAGTCCGTAGACATACCGCTGTGCTACTGGGGGGCAATATTCTCGAAATATCGCAAGGTAGATCTAACGAAGTCCTCAGTCTTACTCATAGAGAAGTCACTATGCAAAATATAACTTGATCCTATATTTTTGAATATAAATAGATTCTGTAGACATTCTTACAGCTATAGTTTAAAACACAAGCATGTAGACACCTAAAATACCTCACACTCGAAAGAACTTGTAGCTATAGTTTAAGTACAAGTTTGTAAACCAAAAATAACTTATAGCTATGATTTAACTACAGGCTTGTAGACTCAAAACAACTTATAGCTATAGTTTAAGTACAAGCTTGTAGACTCAAAATAACTTATAGCTATAGTTTAAGTACAAGCTTGTAGACTCAAAATAACTTAAAGCTATGATTTAAGTACAGGCTTGTAGATCCAAAATAACTTAAAGCTATGATTTAAGTACAGGCTTGTAGATCCAAAATAACTTAAAGCTATGATTTAACTACAGGCTTGTAGACTCGAAATAACTTGTAGCTATAGTTTAAGTACAAGCTAGTAGACTCAAAATAACTTATAGCTATGACTTAAGTACAAGCTTGTAAACCAAAAAATACCTTAAAGCTGTGATTTAACAACAGGCTTGTAGACTCAAAATAACTTATAGCTATGGTTTAACTACAGGCATGTAGACCCAAAAAATAACTTAGAGCAGTGATTTAATTACAGGTGTGTAGATCCAAAGTAACTTAAAGCTATGATTATAGTACAGGTGTGTAGATCCAAAATAACTTACAGCTATGATTTAAGTACAGACTTGTAGAATCAAAATAAATTGTAGCTATAGTTTAAGTACAGGCTTGTAGATCCAAAATAACTTATAGCTGTGATTTAAGTACAGGCTCGTAGACCCAAAATAAATTATAGCTATGGTTTAACTACGGGCTCGTAGACCCCAAGTCATTTATAGCTATGGTTTAACTACAAGCTTGTAGATTCAAAATAACTTGTAGCAATGGTTTAACTACAGGCTTGTAGACCCATAATATCTTATTTTTAACTATGGTTTGAGCACAGGATTGTAAACACAAAATATCTTAAGCTTTGGTTTAAGCACATGATTGTAAGCCCAAAATATCTTTCAGGATCTTCGTTTTAAGCCAAATATGTGTATTTAGATTAATTTTAAGACTTAGTTTAAGGAATGAAATATATCAGCCGCAACCTATATCTTCTGGCAAACAGTAACACTCTTGACCTAATGATCTATGTTTATAATGTCTAACACAAAGAGTCGACAAGACACCATTTAGAAAAAATGATTCCCATACCTTTAGTAAACTATTATTTTCATAATCTTTAAAAACAGTGTTCTCATATCGTTTACAAAAAACTTGTAGTTATACTCTTTACACACACAAAAAAACAATTATAATAAAATTATTATCAAACCCTTTAGAAAATAAAGTCCATATACCCTTAGAATATATATATATTCCCTTTAGCAACTAAAATTCCCACATCCTTTAAAAAAATCATTATACCCTTTAGAAGCCTCCTGGCGGCTCAGCAGTAAATCTACGGGCCTATAGCGCTGAAATTTTGGGCTTCGATACATGAACTTGGCAGAACACAGATACATTGTGTAATTTTGTGCTTAAATAACAAACAAATCCTTTAGAAAAACATCATTTCCATATCCTTTAGGAAAAATTATTACCGTAAGTTCTTACACCCTTTAAAATGATTCTCATACCTTTACAAAAAGTTACATACCCGTCAGAAATAATTATTTCCATATCATTCACACACACACAAAAAAGATCTCGTATCCTTTGGGAAAATTATTTCCTTACCGTTTAGAAATAATTATTTCAAAACCATTTGCAAAACAGATATAAATCCGTACCCTTTAGAATTTTTGTTTGTTTGAAGTTAAGCACAAAGTTACACAACGGGCTATTTATGCTCTGCCTACTACGGGTATCGAAACCCGGTTTCTAGCGTTGTAAGTCCGAGACATACCGCTGTACATATTTTTTCTTCAAATTATCTGAGTTTTGTACAAAAAATTATACCCTTTTTCAAACTTATCTGGGTATTGTAAAAAAATAATTGTACCCTTTTTCAAATTATCTGAGCAGTGTAAAAAAATTTTACATTTCTTCAAACTTATCTGGGTATTGTTAAAAAATAATTGTACCCTTTTTCAAATTATCTGAGCAGTGTAAAAAAATTGTACATTTCTTCAAACTTATCTGGGTATTGTAAAAAAATAATTGTACCTTTTTTCAAATTATCTGAGCAGTGTAAAAAAATTGTACATTTTTTCAAACTTATCTGAGTATTGTAAAAAAATTATATTCCTTTTCAAACTTATCTAGGTTTGTAAAAAAATATATACCCTTTTTAAACTAATCTGAGTATTGTAAAAAAATAATTGTACCTTTTTTTCAAATTATCTGAGCAGTGTAAAAAACAATTGTAAATTTTTCAAAGTTATCTGACTATTGTAAAAAAATTATACCCCATTTCAAACTTATCAAGGTTTTGTAAAAAAAATATACCCTTTTGCAAACTAATCTGAGTATTGTAAAAAAAATTGTACCCTTTTCAATTTATCTGAGTATTGTAAAAAAAGTATACCCGTTTTCATACTTGAGTATTGTAAAAAAATTGTACCCTTTTGAGTATTGTAAAAATTTATCAAATTGTGAGTGAAGACTAGCAGTGCAATAATGTGTTTTTCTCAAATACATACTTCAAGTGTACAGCAAACACGCTAAATATACAGTATGTTTTTATAACTATAGACCAAAAGATATGTTACCGCCCACATTTCTGTGCTTATAACATTTGACTCTTTGTCAGAGAACGTAAAATTCTCAAACTCGAACATTAATCTACAACAGAATAAACTGAATTATTATAAGTGCATCTAAGTTGGGGACCATGCTGTATAAACGTACAATACATAAGGTTTAGTACGCTAATTTCCTGGTGACCACCAATTACTTCGTCAATAAGAGATTCTTAAACTTTTATGGAAAAATAATAAACTAGTAGTCGTCATCTTTTGTTTGACATCTGGTTTTATTTTTACAAAAGCCAGCCTTTAATTTGTTTATTTTTTGTGTAACACTCTGAGCATTAAAACATGGACAAGAGTGCCAGGTATATTATTTAACTGGAAACACATTTATTAAAAACTTTGCAAATATATGTTTTCTTCGTTATTTACGTTGTACGCAGGGGAGATCGTTTGGCTTTTATGTATTTTATAAGTCATGTATGCATCTGTTCACAGGTGGCGTCTAATGTCACGTAAATACACAGACAGCGATAACTAAATGTACCTGTAGATTTCAGACATTATAGCAAACCATATAGAGGTAGACCGAGAAACCAGGTAGTACGTGTACAGCAGATCTATATCGGTCAGAGGTTATGGCTCTTCTCTGGTGTCAACGGTTCAGAATAGTCACAGGCCAATTCACAATAGTTCAAATTAGATTACAATAAGCAGAAATAATATTTGGCATTTGAAAATCCAATAAAATAATGGTTGTCATAATCTAAATTCTTAAGAGGCACTCAAATCCTTCATAATTTCTTCCACGTTCGACCCCACTCGCTGCCGTATATTTTCACAACCCCACCCTGACTGTTACGTATTTGGTACCGCCTGGGTTCAAGCGGGGAGACTTTTTTACACACTAGGAATGAAGGGCGAACAGAAGGGGAGGGAAATAAGGGAACAGGAAGATATTTTTTATGAGTGCTCATGAGTTAGGATACCCGCAGGCACGGAGACAGGCCAGTAGACTGTGATGCTACGAAACCCTTGTCATCGTGGTTGGAAAACGGTCAAATCAACTAGATCACACACATGATTTCTTGCAAATATTTCTTGAAAACGAATTTATTTTAACCTTCTGTTACTGATGACGGGGCAATGAGTTGTATAACCATTGTAATAGTGGTATATTTTCACCAGCAGTTCACCGAGGTTGTCTGTCGTCCTCAGCGGAACAACGCGTGTGATTTAGCGGGAAAGCTTCGACGGAATACGACTCGGTGGATCGGGGCTTAGTGAAGCCTAATTACTTATATGATGCTTCGGATTAGAATAGCATACCCCATTCAAACTTTTGCGTGGTACACAGAGGTACTAGTGGCTTCGTTGTGGGGAGGCTTATTATTCAGGTAAGACACCTTGAGTGATGTAACAATGGTAAGATATTCTCATTTAGAGTCTTGAGAAGTCACGAATCAACACTTTTCATTTAACATGGCAACAGTAATAGTGAACTGTTATTATTGGCTTATCTAGAGTTTATAGAAATCAAAAATCAACATTTAACCATCTCACATCGTAATGAATTATTATTATGGGCTTATTTAACGTAACATACAGACACTAAGGGACTATATTTAAAAATTAAAAATATAAACATCTTTTATTTCTTCAGGAAGTCATTGATTCTTTCCTTAAACTTCTGCAATATGCTAATCTACCAGTTTCACTTCTGCCCACCACAAATCATTACATAGGCAAACACTTGGAAAAATAAAAGTGCCGTAACTAGATCCAAGCCTATATTTTTCCAAAATTAAACTTATACCCTCATGACGTGTTACTATCAGCGTTCAGCACGAGGGAATTAAATGTTTTTACCCTATCCATTCCGAAATAGTCCTGTAAACTTCAATAATATAACATTTTACCCTTTTTTTCTTCAAAACAAAATATCATAACCTATCCCTATAAGATAATTTCATCCCCAGAATCGTCCTACTAGCCCTTCTCTGAACCCTTTCTAATAAGCATTCCAGGTGAGGCCTAATAAGTAATTTGTATAAAGAGATAACGACCTCTTTTTGACTTGTAATCAGTATGTCTATAAAATCACTTTAACATAGTAACAGTCATAATGACTTATTTCTTATGGGCTCTTGATAAATGACGAATCAATACTTCTCATGTAACATAAAAACAACCATAATGACTTATTTCTTATGGGCTCTTGATAAATGACGAATCAGCACTTCTCATGTAACATAAAAACAAACATAATGAATTATTTCTTATATGTTCACTTAGGATCTTCGTAAATGAAGAATAAAATGTGTTTATTTAGTGTGTTAAGAATTGTATTTTAAAGGTACTTCTATTTAGTAATAAGCAAGATGAAAGTAGTAGTTTGATATTTTAAATTGTTTTAAAAATGCCTTATATTAGTCAGAAAACTTTTATGTCAGTTTCGTTCAACAACTGACGTTCTTATCTTATACAGTATTAAGAATAATGAATATTAATCTTTGTGTCACTTTGAAATATACAGGCATTAATGTATGAGTCAGTTTGAAATATACCATTACATTTGTAAAACGAGCATTAACTTATGGTTGTTACAGTCTCACAGTATGAAACATATATTTACACTAATATTCTATGTTATCTTAAGGGTCAGTTTGAAACACAATCGTTACATTGATAACGAAGATTAATTTTTAGTCCGTTTAAAACATACTTTTACACTTGTAAATATAGTAGTGCTGACAGGCCTAGAATTTCTGAATACGTTTTTACTTTATAGGAGACGCCAAGCTTTTGTTTATTCAACACCTAAGTTTATTTCGAGAAGTCAAAGTGTCGCTTTTGTGATTAAATGCTTCTCCTGTGAATTAAAACTTGGTATTCCTGATCTGTTGAAATGATAACACCACAGACGTCAATACTAAGAGATTAAGCCGAATAGGTCATACATGTTGAAATAATAACACTACAGCAGTAGTATGGCATGCGTATTGTTGTTTAACTAATGAGAAAATCAACTTTTTGTTTCTCACACGTTGACTCATGCCTTATGAATATTACACATTGTGTTGCTTGTCTGAGGTTAGCCTAGACTATTAAGATGTTTCTGACGGTTTTATTCACTACACTTTTGTGTTTTTTTTTTGTTTTTTTTTGCTCTCCTTGTGGGTTGGGCTTGTTATTTTTGCACTGTATCATGTTTATTTAATTATGTTCGTTTTTGAGAATGTAGTCATTAACGCTCTAGTCTAGTAACTCAGGCTTTGACATAATGTTGTTATTATCACTTTATGTATTTATAAACTTATTTTACTAGCAGTCACTGAAATTGATTGAGAGCACACTCTTAGCTCTCATAAGATGGCTTAAGATAATTTTAACCATAGTCAATCATCAGTGTTGTTTACTCACAAAACATATCATTGCAATCTTTCGTAGTACATTGGAGGGTTTGTACAAGAAACCAGGCTGTACTATGTGTTGTTTTGCTTTTAAAGATTTTTGTGTTTTTTATATGATGGATATCAAATAGTCTTCAAAGGTAAACTGTTGTTTATATATTTTTAAAATTGTTCTTTCAAAGTCTTTAAACTAGCAGTAGAAATACTTCTCACACTAATCCCCATCCATTTCTGTTTGTTAAAAGTGCCTTATAATTTGTTTGTGATTTTCGTCTTTAATGTTCTCCTTTTCTAAAGTACTCGTTTGAAATCAGAGTGATTCCAAAACAGGAAAGTACGACGTCCTCATTTTATCTTGTTTTGTTTGAAATAATTAAAAATGATCATATATCAGACTGTTAGTCATTGAGAGATATGTGGGTAAAATGAAGGAAACACATTAATAGTGTGACAGGAATATGTTGTAAAGTTAAATATACAGGACCTACTAACTAACGACTTCGCTGTACATGAAGTGTTTCGGTTTACTGCTTACATATTTAGACATTCTGTGTACATAATAACAAAGTCATGGATTGGTTCATACCTGTACATTACTGATTCGGTCGAAGTATAATTTGTTTATTAGGGTACGTATCTTATTTAACGAGTAAAAATTTTATTTAATAACTATAAAAATACATGACATTGTAGTTGGAAATTTTCCTGTTTAAAAGTAGTATCACAATAGCCGTGTGTAACTACGAACTTTAGCGTGAGTTGTTCTTGCATGTGAGGAGTATTTGTTGGAATAAAAACTTCCAAAGTTTTCACTGTTTTGTTCAACAAATTATATTTTTTTTGCCGAAAGAAATTCCAGATTAAAAATTAGTTTAATTAGGGAGATTTTTATTCTTAGTTGACGAAGGTAGAACACAATTTAAGCTTAAGAAATAATGACTTGTATAGCAGTAGAAGCACCCTGGCAACATGTCTCTGGCAAATTTATGGTATTATATAGATAAAAGGGGGCCATCAGATTTACTTTAGAGTAGTAATATATTAGACATAAACTTTATTTTGGCGGATTAATACTTGAGTATTAACATATTCTATATAAATTTTATTTTAGTGGATTAATACGTTAAATTTAAAGTTTCTGAAAGAGTATTAACATATTCGATATAAACATTCTTTCAGCGGATTAAAATTGTATATCTGTTTTGTCTGTTAGATTGTTAACATATTTGATATAAAATTTCTCTTAGCGGATTAATACATTTATCTCTTAGATTGTTAACCTGTTGCATTCCTAGAAACAATTAAAAGTTTGGCTTCACTTTCTTGACATTTTACCAGCTATGAATCAATCTTGTTAAACTGATCTTCTGGTTGTCATGATTTATTAAAACATAGATTCAAATATACAAACGTCCAGTTACGCCAGTCTTATTGATAAATGAACCAGAGAAACCAAAACGTCATTGAACAAGGAAGTGACCATCTGGCAGGTAACTGTATTGTAAATAATGTCGGAATGTCTGCTTATGTTCTTTTATTATATGCTTTATCGATAGTAGGGGCCCGTGGCATTTTAGATGAATATATATAACAGAAACTTTTAATATGTTTTAGGTTTATTGCGATATGCCTACCTACAAAAAAAGCTCCATTATATGTTGAATTAGAACTCGTCTGTTTATCGTTATCGTTCATTTAGAACGCGTCTGTTTATTGATATCGTTCACATAGAACTCGTCTCTTTATTGATATCTTGTGAATATTTAGATTTACTATTTTTTTATTTTGTATTAAACCCGAGTCTGTCTGATAAATTTCAATTTTGTATTAAACCCAAGTCTGTCTGATAAATTTCAGTTTTGTATTAAACCCAAGTCTGTCTGATAAATTTCAGTTTTGTATTAAATCAAAGTCTGTCTGATAAATATCAATTTTGTAGTAATCCCAAGTCTGTCTGATAAATTTCAATTTTGTATCAAACCCAAGTCTGTCTGATAAATTTCAATTTTGTATTAAACCCAGGTCTGTCTGATAAATTTAATTTTATATTGAACCAAGGTCTGTCTGATAAATTTCAATTTTGTATTGAACCCAAGTCTGTCTGATAAATCTCAACTTTGTGTTGAACCCAAGTCTGTCTGATAAATATCAGTTTTGTATTAAACCCAAGTCTGTCTAATAACTTTCAATTTTGTATTAAACTCAAGTTTGTCTGATAAATATCAATTTTATACTAAACCCAAGTCTGTCTGATAAATTTCAACTTTGTATTAAACCTAAGTCTGTTTGATAAATTTCAACTTTGTATTAAACCCAAGTCTGTCTGATAAATTTCAATTTTGTACTAAACCCAAGTCTGTCTGATAAAACTGTATTTCGTAGTATCACCATGTCATAGAGCCTACTTCAGCGTTTCTGTAATTTCTTGACACTCAGCGATACTTGTTTCCTGTGCAGAATGCGTTTTTCAATAACATTCTTACGCTCCAAACACCTCAGCTGTTTGTATGAGTACCGCGAGTTCTTGATATATTAGGCAAAACCATAAAGGTCCATAATATTGAGAATTCGAAGCATATTTTAAATATATTGGTTTTGTCGTTTCCAAGAAGCTGTACTTTTCTGATGAAATGCTTCCCGTTGAAGGCAAAACAACGTTTCTCTGCTCAGGCCAATTTTTCAGTCCAATAAGTGTTCAAGCAAAACAGTAAAGGCTATTTACTATACATATAACTGACACGTGATCAACAGAGTGGGAATTGCGTGCTGCCGGGTGTAAGCCTACAGGGATCTGACTTGAATGATGAATTGTGAGTGTGTAAATTATGAGGTATTATTTATACAACTAACCGTTGTAACGTGATCAAAGTTACGGTCTTATTACGCTGGACCTATTTTAGAATATGTTATAAAATTAAAATGACCACAAGTATCAGTCAAAAGAGTATTTTTAGGAATAACTTTATTACTAATCATTATATTAA